TAACCCTCTGAAAGATTCATAGACATCAAAAGGGAACTCGTGAAGTAACATCTATATTTGTAAGGAGGAGAGAAGCCTTGTACCAGTTTTATTTGTTGTACTTCTAAGAGTCCATTCTGAAACAACACATCCAGTTGGGAAACCATTTGTGCAGTCAGAAACTTGTTGCCATTACACAGCATCAATCTAGTCTAAATTTCTTAAGGGTTCCACGTACTTGTAGTTACTCATTCTTACTTCCAGACAGCATCAGGTATCTCCTCTTGCTTATGTTTATGCCCTATAGAAATCATAGAATGATTTGGAATAGAAGGGATCTTAAAGATCAGCTTGTCCCACCCCTCTGCCATGGGCAGGGACACCTTCTGCTAGACCAGATTGCTCCAAGCTCCATCCAGCCTGGCTTTGAACACTTCCAGGGATGAGGCAGCCACAACCTGGGCCTCATAAGTAAAGAATTTTCTTCTAATCTAAACCTACTATCTGTCAGTATGAAGCCCTTCTCTCTTGTTGTGTCACTCCAGGCCCTTGTAAACAGTCTCTCTCCATTTTTCTTGGAAGCTCCTTTTTAGTTAAGAAATATGCTGTTTGTGTACTTGGTGGTGGTGGTTATTCTCAAAATCTGTCAGTGTCTGTTAACAAGGAGCTGGTGGCTGTTCCCCACGAGCCAGCCGCAAGAGCCGCCTGTGTGGTGCTGAGGTGGTTGGAGTCTGTCAGGACAGGAGATTGCTCTAAGTGCAGCTCTGCACTGCAATGCAGCACCTCCTGGCTCTCTCTTCAGTCTTTCTGAGGCCTCTTGTGGGTGTTCTTGCTTTACTTTTCTTGACACTTTCTTTTACTTTCACCTGTCAGTTCTCCAGGTTATTTTCCTCTTACTGTTATGTCCAGACAGGACTCCTTTTTTCTACTTCTGTGTTTTGACTGCTGTGATGCACATCCCCTGAGAAAAGAGTCCGCAGTAGAAGAGCATAGAAAAGCACTGCTCTAATGTTGTCTTGTTATTGCTGTCAGACAGAAGTTCACTTAAGTGTGACAAAGAGGACAGAGGCAGAGCTCTGATGTGACAGGAAGTTCAGACAAGGAAGACAGCAGACAAGCCAAACACTGCTTAGAAAACTGGTCAGTGGAAGGCAGTGGAGGGCTGTGGCACAGGTGTCAGGGGGCAGGTGTTCTGCTGTACTGACAGCATGCTCAGGTTTGAGCAGCTGTAGCCAGAGCGGTGATGGGCTGTGCACATGTACACAGGCAGTCGGCAGAACTCTTGGGGACCAGTATACATGCATGAAATATTGGTTGTGTGCCTTTGTGTCTTTGCCTTGATGCTGTGCCTCACTTCTGCTCTGTTCTCTGCTTCACCTTCTCAGAGCTGTGAGAGTGGTCCTTTCAGCTGGGGACAGGCTGTAGTTTTCCTCATTTCCTATGGCCAACAGTGGTTTTGCCATCAAGATGCTTGTGCAGATTAATACATGTAAATGGAATCAATGGAGGTAAAAAGGACATAGGACCATGGGTACAAACAGAGATGGGTCAGGGATGGGGGTCTCAGGTAGATGATTTTCCAGGAAGGAGGATGTGTCAGTTTTGCACTGCAGTGTTTCCCATGAATGCTTCTTGTTTAAGACTGATTCCGTCCTGCTGAGGAAGAGGGGGAGAGACAGATCCTCATCTGTAGACAGATGCACCTTCAAGATCTCTTTCAAAAGTCATAATGGTATTGGAATACTCTTTAGTATGAAGACTTTTCTTTTTTAATGTAACGATTGTGAAAAATATGGTGTATTGTCCCTCACTGTCTTGTATCGTGCATGCGTTTGAGAGCAAAATAAGCTTTGAGGTACAGTGAGATACTGCTTGTATGTTCTTCTTTTATCAGAGTTTAAATAGATAAAGGATTTGTTTATCTTGGGAGTCTGGTGGGCTTGCAGCAGGAAGACAGTTGCACAGTTGCATAGTGAGTAATATTTTATCTATGAGTGATTTCAGAGGTAAGAACATGAGAACAGAGGCAAAGGAATGAGGCGGTCAAGGGATGAGATCGAATGTGCTTTTGCTAGAGCTGCCACTCTCTTCTCATGTTTGTCCTTTCTCTATGTTTCTCTGTTTTAGTGCTTAACAAAGGAAACTGAAGGAAGTTCAAAAACGTAAGACCAAGACTGATAGTAGATTTAGCTTGCTGACCTTGTTCTTCAAGCCTTAAGTTGTCCTTCAGAGCAGCACCAAAGTGGGCCTTCAGTTTTATCCATGTAGGCAGTCAGTCTCCACGAGATGGCTGTGCTCAGGATTCGGGCTCTTCTGAATGACTGTCAGATGTCCCCAGCTGACTGACAGGCAGCAGCTGGCCGGTGGTCTGCCCTTTGCTGGAAGGAGGCCACAATGTGTGGCTTGACAGATGACAGGTCTTAAATGCAGGCTCAAGAGAGAAGCATTTTCTGGGCCGTTTCTTTCCGCTGACTCTGCCTGGGTCAGAGGGTCGGGGCGCATACACGGGAACAGAGAGCACTGTTCTCTTCCAGCTGTTCTTGGGGCTCCAGGCTCATGGCAGAAGACATTTGGAGCTTTGCACAAAGCTGCAGTGTGGTCTGTCTGCTGCCTGCTGCTCTCTCCGTGGCCATGCCTGCCATTGCTTTCTTACATTGACACTTGCTGAATTCACCTGCTTGAATTCCTGTGCTGGTGACTCTCCTACCTCCTGCCTTGCTTCTCTGTCCGTACCAGTTACAGCCCATATTGGTTCTTTGCTGATTATCCGTTCTTCTCCTTTCTCCAGTTTGCTTTACAGATACAAGCGTGATGAATATCTAAGACTTGTGGTGATCAGGGAGCGCACTGAGCTGGGGCTTTGGGAGCTGTAGTGGATTTGGGTGGTTAATTTGGAGATGCAGGTTCAAATTATTTTTAGAATTATGTTTTATTATAATACATCTATAAATATTTAGAAATCATAGAAATTATGATATAAAGGTGATACAAACTTTTAAAAATAATTGTATATGTTGACTGTGCACTAAATATTTTCTTCCCACTCCCAGTGGACTCGCTTGCATACCCTCAGGGGTGGACATATCTCACTTTGGGGTCCACTAGTGTATTTCTCCCAAGTGCTTTCACAGTCTGTAGCTATTGAGCCAAGTATGTCTTCCATGTTGTTAGCACCCTTTTGGAAGAGGGTTCCACAGGCTGATACCCACAGTGTGACAAACTCACCCCTCCAATGGTCTGTGAGCCTGACCCCTCTGACCCCTCCATGGCCAGGGTTTGCTATTCTGGCAGGGGCAGTGAACGGTCAATACCTGACTGTTCTCCCCAGGCCACACGTGATTCTGCAGAGCTCTGGCAAATGCCCCTTTAGATCACCTTGGATCACCTCTTTCCAGATGAAAAGTCACAACATATTTACCTTTACTTCCCTGGATGCAGTTCCATATGCTAAGAATTCCTGTGCCATTCATTGTCCTTGTTTCAGCTCTTCTCTGCTATCACTGAGCTGCAGGAGCCAGAGTGCGCACAGACCTTCATTTGTGGACACACCATGGCCATAGTGCACTGACATCCTCTGTTCCTTCCACTCTTATTTCTTTTCTTTATGACTTTTTTTGATCTCTAGTAACCAGTGAACCAATGTTTTTCTGGAAGTGTCTGTTTAAACAAGGTCTTGGTTCTGCTGGACAGCAATCAACTTAGGGCCCATCACTTTGTCTGTGATTCTTGTATTGTTTTTTCCCCTTTTGTAATTCAGTACAATATGCATTGAACATTTGCATCTTCCTTTTAAGCATTCATTCTGTCGCATAAAGTCCTTCTGCAGTTCTTGAAGCTGGCCTTCGTCCTTGTCAGCATGAATAACTAAGCATTGCCAACAAACTTTTTCACTTCCTTGCTTTTTTCCTGGCTTTTTTTGGTTCTTTTTTTCCCCAGGTTGTTTTAAATATGCTGAAAAGGAGACATCCCAGTAGAAGTTTACATGTGCCTTTCTTTTGTTTTCAGAACAAATTATTTTTGCCTCATTTCTATCCTTTAACCAATTGTTTATCCATAATGGATGCCATTGCCTCTTGGTTTCCTTAAAAGACTTTGTAGGGGCACTTGGCTTTCAGATGACTTTTGTTGTATTCTTATTTTCATCCTGGTTCAAATGCGTAGAGAGTGTGTGTTTCTGTATTTTTACATATATGTGGACATATACATATTGATAATTCTCAGTATGAGACTAAGCTCATCGCTCATTTTTGAATTGCATTTTACAGGCAGTCATTATTTTACTGGTGGTTTTCCTTGATGGCTATAAACTTTTAGAATTCAGAATTGGATTTACTGCGTGTCTTGTGCAGCATTAAGCTTGTGATTTGACCCAGTGTCTCTCAAGAACATGCAGAAGACAATATAAATGCCAGGGCTTTAGAATGCCTACAGGGGCTGCTGACAAACTACCACATCCACTTCATTTTTTTATTTTTATTTTAAAGGCTTGATCAGAGACGTGACCTTTTCTATAAAGGATTCGTGTTGCGTTACGAACTTACACTGCTCTCTGGTGTAGGCGAAGTAGAAGGCTCTCAGTGGAAATGTTTATCCCGGTGCTTTGCCTGTGCTGCTTTCTGTCTCCCGGCCGATCAGAGCCGCCTGCTCGGATCGCAGCGCGGGCAGCGCGTGAGCTGCACCGGTGCGGACTGCGTGTTGCTGCCATGGGGGGTTCCCTTCGGGCTGAAGGTAGAGCTTTCAGCTGTAACCTGGTCTGGATCTGCTACTGACCGCTGAGTGTTTTCCCAAGCCTAGTATTTTGCCTCCCTGTTTCCTGTCTACTTTATCCCGGAATGCCTCTCCATGATACCCAAGATACACCAGTCACAGGGCTGACATGCTTTGTGTTGCTGCTTAGTGCTTATGAGGATGGTCAAAACAGGGAATCTGTTGGGGCCTGTGTCGCATGATGTACAAATGTCTTGGCAGCTGCAGAAAGAGGAACCAAACTGCCTTTTCTTTCTGTTTCGCTTTTCCTCCAGCGCCCTGGGATGCCATCAGGAGCTCGAATGCCCCATCAGGGGGCTCCCATGGGTCCTCCAGGCCCCCCATATGTCGGAAGCCCCTCAGTGCGACCTGGGATGCCCCAGACTGTGATGGAAACCACAAGAAAACGCACTGCACCACAGCAGGTCCAGCAGCAGCAGGTGCAGCAGCAGGTGCAGCAGCAGCAGCAAGCCACTCAGAACCGAGCTAGGAGGTGAGTGTTCTGGAAAGAAAACACAGGAGGGCAATTTGAGGAAGCAAAGATGGTACCTGTTTAGCAGTAGATAGGACTTTTAAGATCAAATGAGACAGAAGATCTGTGTACTGACAGTTTTTTAGTAAATTTTACTTTTTTTTTTTTTTTTTTTTTTTTTTTTTTTTTTTTTTTGTGGCGATGTTTTTCGCAGCTTTTTTTTTGTATTTTTTTTTTTTTTTTTTTTTTTTTTTTTTTTTTTTTTTTTTTGTGAATGGTCTTGAACAAACCAGCCTTTACTAAGATCTGGTTTTGAAGTTATTCTGTTTTTACTTTGCAGGTTTGTCAGGCCATAAATTTTTCGAGTATGTTTGGCCTTTAGAATTAATGAACAGTTCTCTTCTAATATAGTACAATTACTGTATTACTTGTTGCCTGTTCTGTATAGTTGCTCTGATTTCTGACTGGCTTACCTAGTTGTTTGGAAACACAAAGTTGTTTCCACACAAGTGGAAAAAACTTTGGTTTGTCATGTGAATGCTTGTACTATGGTCACTCAGAAGAGTGGTCATAAAACTTGCAGTTGTCCCAAGTGTTTTTGCATATAAATAAATATGCACTGGAAGTAATTTCATAAAATCAGAGGGATTTCTGTGTGGAATTTTCTTTTTGAAATATGCCCACCTTGTACATTGCTGAATGCATTCTCTCTTAAATAGGTTAGCTACCTTCTTTTTGCAGCACATTAGACCTCATCAGTCTGGAGTGTTGAGTGTGATCCACACACACATAGGGTGCAGTCATCTGAGTGGACTACCTTTTGCAAAATCATTATAGATGTATATACAGCTTCAGGCAGTGTTCTGGTGGTGTCAGGGACTCTCCAAGTTCAGTTCTTCAGGAGCCCTGCTCTGTCCAGGTTATATACCTTGGATCAGCAAGCCAGATTTGGGAATGCTTGTGTCTGGGATGCATCTGGAAAGGACACTGATCTTGAGAGTATGAACACATTACAATTGAAAAAGGTTGACCACAGAAGGAATGTGTGTGAGTGCAGCACGTGAGCACAAGCAGCGCGTGTGCCTCCTGGAGGCCTTCCCCAGCACCAGCCAAAATGCACATTCTATAGCACCTCCCAGGAGGTTCTCCAGGAGGCTGCACAAAATAACGCCCAGCCTTCAGCTACTAGGGTGGATATAACCGGAAAAATTGCCCCTGCTGGATAATTAAGGTAAACTTTAGTCACTAACTAGTTTTCAGGGAGCATTAGAGGACAGTATTTGCTAAAAGTGTTGGCCTGACTCACAGTAAAAAGTTCCCCTCCCCTGTTCTTAACTTCAGTGTTGCTAGTTTGAGACCCAGCAGTGATCTCTGCTGCCTTGAGCCCAGTTCACACCAGTGCTGCGTGGGTACTCAGAGAGTTTCTTCTGCTGTACCTTCCCTTCAGATAATGTGTTGAATGTTTTCCATTTTATCATTTCCACCTCCCTGTTATTTCCCATTAGGTGTTTTTCAGGCACACTTTTCTGGCACCTTGGGTCCAATTCTGGGGGTGAAATGAGTTCCATGTTTTCTAGCATGGGCCAAGAAAGTTGCACTTGTCCTTTTTTGGCAGGTTCGGTGGAGACAAAAATCTCATTTCTGTAAGAGATTATTGAAGAACTGGTTGAGATCCAAATTGTTTGGGGATGTTGCTTTGTTTTTTTCTTGCTTTTTATTTGCAAGCCTATGGGATTGTTGCAGATACATGAATATCCCTATCCCTTTTGGAGGCTGGGGCTTGCTCATCCTTTACTTCCAGATTCTGTGAAGTGCTTCTGTGCAAATTTCATTTTGTGAGCTGTGGAAGCTGTTCGAGTTTCACACCATGTGACATTCCATTCCCATTATTCCTACATTTTTTAAAAGGGACATTGTTCACCTATTAAGTTGGGTTTAACTGAATTTTCTGCCCGCTGTATCTCCAGGCACAAAGAGTTCCTCAGCCTTGGCTTATGTGGGGATGGGGAAGAGTCTTAAGAATCTGGTATTTCAGCCCTGGCTCATTATTAACAAAGGTGGGAAGAGAATATGCCACACCAATGTGCGTGGAAACAGCTTTTATGTGAACACGGCTGATGACAGACTTCCAGTGTGAAAAGGAGGGGTGTCCTTGTGACATGGCAGAGTGGCAGCAGGTGTCTGTCACAGACGGAGTGATTAATCTCCTGCTTAAGATAAAGGCCTCACAAGTTAAAGAGATGAAGAATAGGACCTGAACTCCCTCTTGGCCCCTGTTAGAGAAAGCTGGGTGACAGGTTTGGTGGGCATGAACAATTATTAGAATCTGAAGACAGTCTTCCTGACAGCAGCATTTCTCAGCCACATACACATTTGTGTTTATGTACATGAGTACAAGTGTGTTTTTAAAAGCATAACTATAGAAATGTGCCTATGTATGGGTATGGACACAGTATGTATACACACTGCAGGCACACATATGTCTTCCCACATGTGTGTTCATAAAGATGAAGAAATGTGGAAATGTAAGGTCTTCTATCTTTATCCATCACTCATGCAAATATGTTAAAGTAAAACAAGTGTGTATGTACATATGAAGGAAGGGTGTGCATATGTGTGTGTTTTCATACCTCATGTGAAATACATACTATATATGTATGTGTGTTCTTCAGCACTTAATTTTGGGCATGATTGAATAAATGAGTGTTGTCTGTTTGAACAAGTTGATGTGCCATTTGCAGGCACTCAGCCACTCAGAGGTGCACATGCATAGGTGTGTCCGTGCATGCCACACGTGAGACTGTCCTCTGCATGCTTGCCTGTACCTAGAAGCAGTGTGTGCACATGCACTTGCATATGTTGCCGCCCTGCACCACGGCAGATGCTGTGATCAAAGAACTTACAGACTTCTTTCCAGGATGCATAACAGACAGCCCTGATTTGTTTTTACCTATCTGCCTCCCCAGGCTGCTGAGAGAAGGGGTACAAGGTCCTGGGCATGGGTGAGACCCTTTTGCTGATGCATGCACAGCTGTGCACCAGCATGTGGAGATGTCAGGATAATTTAGCAGGTGGCCTCGTTACTCCTAGATCTGTCACCATGGTAACGTGTTTTTTTCTTTAAAAAATGTACAGTGCCAAGAGGAGGAAGATGGCTGACAAAATTCTCCCTCAGAGGGTGAGTCGCTTTCATTTCCTATTCCCTTCACAATCAGTTCAGCATCTTAGTGTAATTAGAGGAAATTTAGAAAATTCTTTCACTTTTTGTTTAAAAATCTAATTAAAAAGTAAGTAGGCAGTGGGTGAAAGTCTGGCGAGGCGGCTGGGGCTGGCTGGGGGCTGGGAGCGCGAGCGGCCCGGCCTGCGCGGCCTCGTGCCTGGGTTAGCCGAGCCAGCACTGCCGCTTGCTGGAGGCAGCGCGGCGCTGGGTGCAGGCGGCTCCTCGGCTCCGCGGCCTCGCCTCTCCTCGAGGCTTGCCATCCTCCCTTGAGCCTGGCGAAACCTGGCCCACATGTGGCTCTACCTGAGGGGTGGGCTCAGACTCAGGTCTCTGGCCCAGTAGAGCTGCCAGGTTGTGATTTTTATGGTTGTGTCACCATAGGGCTGAAGTGAACCTGTGTAAACAACAGAGTCTGAGGGGTCTGTATTGTCTGGAGAGTTACTAATTCTCTTATCTCTGGGGGTACATCTGGCTTTTGGTGTCTGCCTATGTTTGATCCTCAGTGCTTACATCTTCTACTTCCTTTCTAAACATTGGGATTTCTCTCTGCTCTCCTCTCTCATTATTCCCATACTTTTTATTTTCTTTACCCTCTTCAGTACAGTTTGGAAGAAACTGCTTGGTCCCTAAAGGCTTCAAAATACATACCCTTGTCACATCCTAATCTAAGTTGTTTTGACTGCTGGTGCTTTTTCTGGGCTCAGAATCCCTTGGACAGGTGTGTCCTTTTCCTCCATGTCCTTTTCAAGTTTTCAAGCTCCACTGCTAAATTGAGCCCAAACTTGCTGGCAGGCTCCAAAGTCACTTCTGTGACATCTCACAGGTGCCTACTGCCAGCCATCCAAAGAAATGAGCCCACTTTGATGCTCCTGATGTTATGCTATCACTTCTTCTCTTGTAATTCCTGCCACATTCTGAAAGCACAGCATTTCATATGTAAGCCATTAGATCTCTTATGTTGCTGTCTTGAAAGGACTAAGGTACCATTAAACCACTGAGCCACTAGCAGCCTCCCTGGTGATTATGTTGAAGTCTCATTCCTGCTCTGCTGGTGGTCTGTACCTTTTTTTATAATGAAAGCTAAGTTTCTTGTACTGTCAGTTTTGTCTGTCCCACACAAACTGTTTTCACAGACAATGATACGTCCTGTATAGTGAGGCTGTTACTGAAATATATGTCAATTTCAAGATGCTTTTAGTTTTGTTTTGGGTTGGTTGGTTGTGGGAGTGGTTTTATTTTCAGTTTTTATTTTGCATGTTGCCTTTATAAGATTGAAAGGTGTAAGAGGTAATCAAACTTTTTTACCAGCAGAAGATCACTGACTCTGTTTACCAAGTCCATGATAATTCTTTAATAGGTAGAGCCATACATAGGTGTGTCAGAAATCTCTACAGATGCTTTCAGAGCCATCCTGTCACCAAATATTCTTGCTTTTCAGTATCTTTGTTGTTGCCAGCCAATAGCTTTAACTGATGGAGTAGTAAGACATTTGCTAGAAGTCTCTTCTGCAGTGGGGTTTTTATCAGTGCAGCTGCAGTAGTGGTATCAATGATGTGACCTCTGTCTGGGTTAAGGTACTTTGTAAGGCTGCAGTTAGTGTGTCAGAAATCCCTTACGCTGTCTGTGGGATGAAGAAATGCTGTGCACATCATTGTCCTGTCAAGTGGAGGATGTGCACTGGTGGCTGTGGAATGCATGTGAAACATGGGGTAAAACTTCCAGCTTTCTGTCACTACCTCTGGAGTGCTTTCCAGCCAGTCAGCATCTGTTACCCATAGACTTTTTACAGACTCTTGCTTATGTTTTCTGGGAACTTTGAAGGGGAGAGGGGAAGATATTAAATACATTTGACTCTTGAAAATGATCTTATGTAGTAGTGGGAAAGGAGGTGGGTTCTCACTGCTCCTCACTATGATAATGACTCAGGCAGTTGGCACAGGTAACCTCTTGTTGGATTTCCAGACTCTCTGGTCAAGCCTGTGCCATAGTCCTGGAGCATCGTGCTGGTTGGGTAGAATCACTGAGCCACTCCAGGTCAACTATTTGAGAAGGATTTAATTTTGCAGGAATATAATTTTATGAAAAATTCAACCCAGCAAACATTGCACATAAGAAGATTGGATTAGGGAACTGCATGGGACATCCTGGCAATTCCAGTCTGGTTCCCTCTGTCATGGAAGCCATGACACAACAGCCACTTCAAGACTAGTTAGGTTTCTTACCTGAGACATACTTTTGGTCTGGCAGTTTGGGTTTTTTTTTTGTTTTGCTAGGCTTGGCAAGAGAAGTACTTTTAGATTGCCAAGTTAGAGAGGCTCCCCTCTTGAAATCCTCTTAGTCATTTGTTTTATCTGATCCCAGTTAAATTAATCTTTCAAACCTTTTTAAATCTACCTCTGAAGAAACCAGAACTATACATAGTATTACAGATTGCCAGTATTCACCATGCTTGAATGCTGCTCCTGCATTTTTAGCTCTATTCGAAATAGCACTGCAAATTGGGATTGCTGTGCTTTTTGTTTATTTGTTTGGGGTTTTTTATTGGCCTTTGCACATTGATACAGCCTCTGGTCATTCTGTGATTGGCTAATACAAGTATTTCTGCTTTCTGTCATATGCAACTGATGAATTCCCATATTAGAGCAGGATTTAGACTCTGAGGCATTACTCTTGTAATGTTATATATCATCCCATCTCCATTATACAGTTCTGAACTTCCTTACATTTTCTGTACTATCCTCTTCCTTGCAATGACAGTGACACCTAAATTTATCACTAATAAGTTTTCTTAGCATACCTCTCCTTTTTTGTACAAGAACACATTTTTCCTATGCCAGGTCTTGCTCCAGCTCCCATTTTTCTGTCTTCAGGAGTGGTTCCCTTTATGACTGTATGTCAAATGCTTTACTTAAATGTAAGTTGATTGTATTGACTGCATATCTTTTGTCTAAAATGCAGTTTTAATGAACTCAGAGACATTGGTTACACTTACATTGACATACTGTAACATAACAAAGCTTAGCATTTTTATAGTGTATTTAACATTGACTCCATTTCTGTCCAGCAGGATCTTTCCTGCCCTGTTTTCCTCACTTCTGGATCTTTCCCTTGTTCACACCTGGCTGTTGCTGAAACCCTCATTCAGTTTTGGAGAAGTTCACAGGCATTTTCATTCATGACTGGAACCTAAATCTCTGGAGCTGATGCTACCTTTGTGACCTAGGTTTCGCAGTTGTGCCTCAATTTCGACCTCAGACCACAAACTGTCTCTAGGGACACATGACTGCACCTCAGATTGTACCTCTTTCTCCAGGCCTTGCCTCCTTATTGCTTCTGGTCAGTCTTATTTTCTCTTAGTATTGAGTCATTGCATTTTTTCCCAGGGAGCTGTGAATGTGATCCACCATTCTGTTTTTTTGGCTTTCTCGCCTACCCATTCTGATGCAGGAATCTCAGGTGAAAACCATTCTGGCTGCATAGGTGTGCTCATCTCTGTTTTTCCTTGTTTAACTTGCTGAGTAGAGTGCAACTTTGAAACAGCAAACTGCCTCTCCTTCAGTGGTGTGCTTGTCTCTTAGTATTGTTTGCTGTTCTTCTCACTCAGCCCTGAATTCCTGAGGACTTTTTGTCTAGCTGTGCTGACAGGGTTTTGTACACCTGTCCTCTCCTTTTCATCTTCTCTGCTTCATTTAACTTTGCACAAATATTTAGTCAATTTTTGCTGCTGCTGTTCACTGACCACCATGTGGAATTCTTTGCACAGATCCCATGCTATAATAGCTGTCCTGCTGTGGCTGTTGTCCACCTCTTTCTCCATCTGAGCCAACCAGAGGTGAGGAACACCTGGATCTGCCATTCTTTCATGTAAGAAAGAAGAGGTTAGGGGTGTGATAATCAGTGGTAGCCTTGGATATAGCAACTGTGAAATAAAGAAATTAAAGATCTTGCCAGGGATGAGGAAGGAGAGTAGTCAAGTACAAACCCTGGACTTTAGACAAGTAGAGTTTGGCTTATTCAGGGGACTGGTAGGTGTGATTCCTTGAGAAGCAGCTCTGAAGGGCAAAGTGGCTTAAGGAAGCTGGGAGGTCTTTAAGGACCTTTAAGAGCAGCCTGTTTTAAATTCAGGAAAATGAGCAGATTTATGAGGAGCCCAGAAGAGGGTAATCACAATGGTGGTCCCAACGTCAAAAGGCATTGTACAAGAAGTGAAGCAGGGACAGGCTGCAAAGGAAGAGTTTAGAACCATTGCCTGGGCATGCAGAGAATGTTATCATCAAAGTCAAAGCTCAGCTGTAGTTGAGATCTTCAAGGGACATCAAGGACAAGAAAAGCTTCTACTATTGCACTAGTAATAAAGGCTGACCAAGGAACATGTGTGCTCCATGCTGAGTGGGCTGGGTGATCCAGTGATGACAGAGACAATAAGTCTGAAGCACTCAAAGCCTTCTTTGTTCAGTCTGCACTAATGATGCCTCCCATGCCCTGTGATCAGTGAACACATCCCAGAGGAACAGGCAACAGTGAACGGGAATAGGGCCAGGGATTAGTTGAGGAAATTTGACCTGTGCAACTCCATGGTATCCAACAGGCTACATCTGAGGGAGCTGAGAGAACTGGCCAATGTCCTTTCAAGGCCACTCTCTCATACATAATAGTCTTGTATTCAGGTTGGGACATTTTGGTCTAAGTGGCCTGACAGCCATGTGGGCGGATGATGAGGCTGAGAAGGTGGCTAATGGTTGCTCTTGGCCATGAAGATACTGACATCAGAGTGCTGCAGGGATGTGGCATAGCAGCTGTTCAGTCCAGCATCTTTGCCACTGGAGGAGGCAGTGCAGTGCTTGCTTATAAAATCTACAGATGACACTGATCACTGGGTGGGGAAACCAGTTGATATGCTTGTGGACATGCTGGGGGAATGAACCAGCAAGCACTTTATGAAAGTCAACTAAGTCAAA